TGCACCACCTTTTCGCCCTTGTTTTGGGTGTCATCTGTGTGCGGCTCCCCAGTGCTGTGTGGAATGAATGACTCTGCATAGCGGTACATGCGCTCTCCTCATTTTCATGTTGATTTTTCAGCTTTACCTTGTGCATAATGTGTGTTCGTGCATATGTCTATAGACCTTGTCAATGTCAGGTCGGATACCCTCGTTGGATGAGTTTTCTCACGTAATTCTTCTGAGTTTGTCCCCAAACACAATCTGGCTGTCCGAATCATATTCTCCCTTGGTCGTCAACAAGCGCACTTCCCTTGCAAGGGGAGTTTTAAGGTCCGTCCACAAAATTGTTTCGAGTCCTCTTGACCTTGGACCCGCTTATAGAAGCGGTTATCGCCTCCACGGCGCGAACACCGTGTTCGATTTCGTTCACATACGTTCCAAACTTGTCATTAATTACGTTGGGTTTTGTAGCCTTCTTTTGGTCTCTGCGGATATGTCTTGACCATGTATTGTACACATTCGCGGTCCTTTTTTTCTCCTACCAATCAGCAGTAGCTCACCTTCTCTTCTTCGTCTTTGGCCTTCAGTGGTCCGAATAACATCCAACTCGGCGTGCGCAAATCTCTTTCAGTTCTTCGGCGTATCGCACCGAGTCCCATTCCCATACGCGCGGAATTGCACTGTCTAAAGCCTGCATATCGTTGCAGTGTGTGTTGATGGAGTCGGATCGACCTTCTGACACCCATGTAAAGTTTATGCCTATAACTTCCAGTGAGGACAAAATACGTTTATATATTCCAAAAAACCTTTATTCTAATCCGTCGCATTTCCATTCCTTAGCCACGCCTTCTTCCTCACCAACCGCATCCTCCCGCACGTATAGTGGACCGCTAAGCAGAGTGTTAGCTAATTAGCAGAATAACATTACACGTATTGAACACAGGTCTTAGCTATAATCCCCAAGAATTTTGAGTTTATTGAATCCGAATACGTTTACTATAATTAACTAAAAACATACCACGGTATCACTCAAGCTACTATATATATGTTCCGCTATGGCCCGTAGAATAGTGTACTAACTCTAACTATCTCGGCGATGATTTCGAGTTACATTTCTAAATTCTAAGATCACCTAGAAATCACAACTCTTAGCTATGTTTCTGTCAAATTTGAGTTCATTGAACACGAATAAATTATTAATTACCAAAAATATAACGCACGGTATCCGTCATTAGAAGATAATAATAATATATTATATATATGCGCGCGGCTAGGCCCGTAGAGGATAGTGTACTAACGTAATAGTCTCGCGCGAACCCTAATTTGTGTACATTTTCTAAAATTCATATACCTACCTAAACACATTCTAGCTATTGTCTCGTGAATTTTGCGTTTGATAAAGCAAAGCACAAATAATTTAATTAATTACCAAAAATATATACGCACGGTATCGCTTATAGGCTAATATATGTACGCGCGGCTATGGCCCGTAGGATAGTGTGCTAACTACTCGCTGCTCGCGCAGCCGCCTATGCATACCTATGCATCAGTCCTATGCATTCGGCGCACGGATCCATAGCTGCCAGCAGTGCATAGTCGTGCACGGCGTTCCCGCGGTCGCGTGCGCCTTGCCGCGGAACTGCGCGCAACATCTGCGCTTATAGCGCTTGGGATTAACACCTCCTTTCGGCAACGCTTCTCTAGTATCCCGTCTCATCTGGGTTCAAACATTTAATCATCTGTAATTTACTTCTAAGGAATATCTGCATTGGGCACCCCCTCTAATAATTATAGGACTGCCATAAGCTACAACTGTGCCAAGTTTGAGACTTTTGTCACTCCTGTAACGATTCGGCCCATATTTTGCACAAGGGACCTGACTATTCTCTGACTTTCTGCACAAAGATGCTAGATGGCCCAATCCTCCTAGTTTGGGACCACGGGTTTAAAAACTTGGGTACTATTTCTTGGTAGATTTAAATACTAAATAGGCAAGGTCCTGAAGAAGACTCCGTCTCTACCTCCACATTTGCGAAAATGAGGGCCATAGTCTGAAACTAGGATTGTGAACTAGGGATGTAGCATAGTACTTTTTAGTAGATGGGTCACAACAACTACAATTCCAGTTCTGAAATGGTAAAAATATTTTAAAAACGTAAATGACATTTTCCCATTGACTTCCATTTCTATGTAAATTTTCGATGTTTCCTGTGGAAAGATTTTGTATTAACTGATGCCCTGATTAATTGATAAAGGCGCTGCACAATTATAAATGCAAATAATATTGGAGAACATAAATTAAATTGACTATTTAGTGATGTATTGCAAGAAAAGGAGTTAAAATGAATACAGTGTACCTAGAATACATTGGGTGCAGGGCATGGATTGTGGATGCACAATAATCAATGCAAGTAAACACTGCCAAGCACATGTTTATTTATCTATTTGCATAATACATCTGACATTTTGTAATGCATATTTACAAATTATGCACGAACAGTCATCTGGAATTTAAAATATATTTGTAACCGACACGGCTCTTTCCCAGTTTTCATAGAATGTGTAATAAAATCGACCAGTAAGCACAGTTTCTTGTTGAGTTAGCTTAAGTTTGCTGTTGTGTAACAGCACAGTTTTAGCTGGTGCACCATTACATAATAAGCCAATCATCATCACTGACTTCTTAAATATTTAGCAGTTGGTCAACCCGGTGGACCGCCAATCTTCATGAATCCGGCCACAAATGACCAGCCGCTGCAGTTTAACATGAACAAGAACAAGCCACCAATGGCTGTTCCCTTGGAAGAGCTCCAACACCAGGAACACAGCGTACCCAGTGCGGGTATGTTCTACTTACATACATGTATAAATATCTCATGTTGTGGCTTTGTTAATGTATATAGATCTCCTTTGCTTACTACATGAGTGCGAACTTGCTTGTTATTTCAGAACGTGATGGACACAATGGAAACAGTGAACGCAGCCAATTTTCGGGTAATGTCTCAATTAATCCTGATGTGAAATGGTTTCAAAAAGAGAGACTTATATATATATGCATTTTTTAAGGTATTTCTTTATCGGATCATGTAGCAAAATGCATGTGTCGATAGTTCGTCCTAATGCTTGACGTTTTGTAAATGAACATTTTATGCCAGTTTTATCTAATTGCAGATCGTGATCACCACAACAGCGAAGACCGTGAATTTAGACTAAGGCATGAGCCGCCCCCTATAGGGCCACAGGTGCCTACTTCTGCTTGGGCCCCCGGTGTGCCTATGGTGCCAGGCCCTGCGATGATGCATGGGGGTCCGATGGGTGACCCAAATATGATGATGGGAGGCTTTGGCTTCAATCCACCAGTAAGTCAGGGTTTCTTATACATAAGAGGCACAGTGGCGCACCGCCGTTGTCAAATTAAATATCGCCGTTGTGAAAATGTTCCCCCTCTCCCTCTCTCCCCCCGCGTCTGGCTGCAGCGTCCGCATGCGTTCCTGCGGCACGTCTTTGAATCCTTTATGCGGGTTTTTCCCCAAACTAGCCATTACCTGTTTTGTTTAATTTTCCCTCAGAAGAAACCCTGTAAGTAATGTTGCAGCCATTCACACATATCTCATGTGTGGTTAGGTAAAGATATATAGTTCTTGCTTGGATGTTTAGTAATGACAGCAGAGATAGTTTATGCATCAGTGAGGCTGATAGGGTCTATGTCCCCCAGGGTACTGCCGGAACGTACCCTAAGTACGGTCAGGTATACCGGAACGTACCCTGGTAACTATCTGATATGCCGGACCGTACCTCGCTTACTCCCTACCGTCAGGGGCGTAGCCAGGATTTTCAAAGTTGTAGGCACGACTATCTGAGCGGAGCGGCACCATGGCGCGGAGCGTACAAGAAAATTTTTGGTTTTACAAACCCCCCAGATGGCTGGAAACGGCCCTTCCCGAGTGTTCATTCTGGTTCCCTGGCCTCTTGCTAACTTGAGACACCTCATTCAATATCACTTTTAAACCCAAAAAACAAACGAGTTAAAATAGTGTTACGAACGAAATGTTAAAAAACTGACAAGATCGGATCCTAGTCTTTTTCGGCGGGTAGAGTGTTGAATGAAACGGCACGCGATAGAAATGACAGCCTAGATGACAGAAGAATAGGTCACCTAATTTAGCCATATTCTTGCTACGTTCATTTCAATAGTTTTTCCTGTCTAGACTCTTAAACTCGTCCAGCAAGCTTATGGATTTGAATTATGGGTGTTTTAAAAAAAAAGATAACTTGGCAAAAAAAGTGTAGGCCCGGGCCTACAGTGCTACATACTGGCTACGCCCCTGCCTACCGTACCCTGACTGTCCCTGTTCTGCCCACTACTGATGTCGCAAAATTTGAAATATACATACAAACCTGTATGATCTCTTTATAAAGTTGGATTGGAGTATGAAACTGTGAAACCAAGAAGAAATTTCGACCTATATACACTGTCACTGATGCGCGCAATCCTTTTGCAAGTATCGCGATGATCGGGAATGCGTTTTTCTTTCGCAATGTTTACGACATTTTCGCGCATTTTCGCGCGAGATTTTTGAAAGATGGCTCCAAGTATTGTGGTGGAACAGGAAAATTTGTATGATTATCTTAATCAGGGTGAAAAACTGATAATTGGAGGCACTGGTCCAGCAGGACCAGTGCCTCTGAGGAAGCACTGGTCCTGGTAAGTAGGCACTGGTCCAGGATTTCTGTCGTAGCAAAGTGAATGACTCGGATGTGGGGACGTTTTTATAGGGGGGATGGTGCAATTTGGTGATGTGCATTCTAATGTATTCTTAAACATCATATTTTTTACTCGTTTCGATACACTGATGCGTAGTAAATCGGAACAAGTCCGCAAGTCGATTTCAAAGATCAGCGGTCTCTGAAGACCGCCCATTATTCCTATTATCATCAAAATTATCATATTTTATTACGCGATCGCTGATTCAGTGATTGGTCAAGGATGCCCAGTATTATCGAATTAGCAGAGGTTTATCAGCATGACCTAGAAAATCGAACACAACAAACATGGAGAGTTTGTGTACTTTGCATGGACTTTAGGCTTCGGATTAAATTTACCATTCATTTCATTAGAATAATGTAGAAGGTTAGTAGAAAATAACAAAATAATAAGTTTGGTAAATTTTTTATTTCCTGTGCGGCAGCCTAAAAATTACTTTTTTTTACGAAAGCTCTTTTTTGATTTTGTATGGAAAAAAAGAGCTCTCGTAATTTTTTTTACGGGAGCTATTAGGCTTGGCCAGCATTACTTTTTCATAGCATGATTTTGTTAAAATTTTCATAATTTTGATGCGCTGACTCTAATATCATTCATCAGCATTCAGCACTCAGCACCAGTATTAACCCAACCAGGCTGTGTGACTAACGTCAATATACTAACTCTAGCAATACCGTTTCTTGGAGCTACACCAGTATCAGACTATCAGTGTTAAGAAATCATCAACAAATTACATTCGATCACGTTTTTTTTATCTCATTTCACTCGACTAAGAAACCAATCACATTCTTATTCAATTTCATTCACACAGACAGATATGCACTACACAGTACACATAGTCAGGTAACATGACAAAGACAGGAAATCAAGAATTATAATCATGGTAATGATGGTATGGTTATTTTCAATTTCTTTTTTTTACTTCATTTCCTTCATCTTTCAACTTTCAACTTTCTTTTTACATTGACTGAGCAAGTTCAGAACTTCAGAGCGTGTTTTTAGTTACTTTGAGTATGTTAAAAAAACTTGTACTGGAATCTCTAGGAATGCCGGGAGCTTCTGGGCAAGGTTTTACTTTCGTTTTTCTCCTCCCCAGTCCACGGTACCCCCATGATCAATGCTGCCGCACATCCGCAAAGTTACAAGTGCCTAGAATCTAGAATATACAGTTTACATTGCTTCTAGATATCTAACTGAATAAAAATAGTCCACTTTCTACATTAAGAAAAGTGCCGAATTCAGTTAACAGCTTTCATTGCGTGCGTGTCAGGTGTCACTGGTCGTGCCCTCACTCCCCACGATAACCCCTGCGCAGGGCCGGACTAAGCGTGTGGGGGGCCCGGGGCACGCAATTGTGTGGGGGCCCTATAGTCTGTATTTTTTCCGCACTTTCATGCTTGCAAATTCAGAGAGTATTTCATCGTGTTTCAACGAATTTAAAATGTCACTTTTCGCCTCAAAGGCGCCATCTCTGGACCATAATCAGCTGAACAGCGAAATTCAGTCAGCGAAACAGCATGGGAAACGCATCACTTCAACGTTACATGCTAAGAATTTTGTGGATCACAATTACGACAGTTTTGTAAATTTTAGGGTACTCTAAATGTGGGGGGCCCCAAATGTGGGGGGCCCGGGGCACGTGCCCCTGTTGCCCCGCCCTTAATCCGCTAGTGCCCCTGCGATATAAAAAGTTATTGTTATGCAGTCATAAAAACACCGGGCTGCCGGCGATGTAGCAATCGATTTCTTAGACTGTCGCGAGTTTTTGTACGTGTGGCGAATCATTCGTTGATGCGTTGATGTGTTGAGTGTGCGGCGATTATCTAGTCACCCCGCCGGACCAGCTGACACGAGCAAGCAGTCGCCCGGTCGATTTTCTAATCGCCACTGGCGACTGGGGCGGCCGCTAGTTTCTCATGCTGTTAATTGGTTGGAAACGTATAGACTCGCTGACACTTGTAGAAAGGGTCGGGAGGTGAAACGTAACAGGGTAAGGGTTACGAATATTTTGCGGGAACGGACCAGAAACAAGGAACGGGAGCATAAAGCGGTGCGTTTCCTGCCGACAAGCGGTATGTATTAAGACATCGGCTGAAAGTCAGGGTACGGTTTGGAGTAGGCGAGGTACGGTGCGGCATATTAGATAGTTACCAGGGTACGTTCCGTTATACCGGACCGTACCCAGGGTACGTTCCGGCAGTACCCTGGGGGACATAGACCCTATCAGCATCAGTGAGATGTCTCTATATTCTGTGTGATGTATATTTACAATTTTCTTTGTTTCCCTTCAGTTTGGTTACATGCCACCGGGCCCTCCAGGACCTCCTCTCCCACAAAAAGAAATCATCCACTGCAAGAGCTGCACTCTCTTCCCCCCAAACCCAAGTAAGTACATTGTATGCTTCATAAGAAGCCATGTAGTAGAACACGATGTTACATGAGAACTCGTAAAGTCAGATTCACATATATATATATGCGTATAAAATTGCACGATTATTGACATGATGACACCAGGAGTACATGATTAGAGAGGAGTGTGTATCTCTCAAAACATGAAAATTCAACATTTGCATGCCTTTGTTTACCTTTGATTTATTACATTAAAACTTAACAAAATTGATATGAAAATATGCATCGCCTATCAAACTTGCTCTCACATATTACTTCACATCAGTGGCTCTTCTGATTACGTTGATATATCTTGGAACGTCGAACATGATTTTAGATTTTCGGCTGGCATTGTGGTGAGCACTCCTGTGCACTGGGGTGAAACATGTGCCATTGACTGGGTTCGTCAGAATCCAAAAATGAGCAATCTTCATCAAACAAATCATCGAAATATTTTGCATTAACATGTCATATAATTCTCCTTCTTCTCGTTATTATTTTTGACTTATTTGATGTTACTGTAGGCCATGCACCATCTGTTTTTTCTGCACTCCCAGCAGTGGTGCAGGTCACAGTCAGTGGTCAGGCAGCTACTAATCTATAAATATCACTAGTTGAACCACACATGGAGTTGAGTCCCTGCAAAACCAAGTCAACAGCAATAATCCTTGCCATCTGTTCCACACCACAGCAGGAGGGTGTTTGCAGCAACACTATGTGAAAATGTATAGTCATGTTTATGGTTTCAGCTATATCTATATATATGTAGTAAGAAGAGGTATGGATATAAAGTAGAGTATGGGTGCAAGTTTGATCTACAATTCTACCATTGATTTCTTAAGTTTTACATAATAAATCATATATAAACCAATGCGTGCAACTGTTAAATTTTCATGTTTCGAGTGAGTTGTACACCTCTCTATTCATGTACTCCTAATGACATGACATCTTATAATTAATTGAATATTGATATATTATATGTTTATATATTATATAATTATAAATATTTATATATATATATAAATAATATATATTATATATATATATATATATTTATAAATATAATATATTATATATATTATTATAATTAATATTATATATTAATTGGACGAAGGCTTGTCCTGGGCTGTGTAGGAAGTATGTGAACACCTTAGCTTCTACTATTGTCTCACGAGGAGTTAACATTTTGTAGATGCTCCGCCTCCGTCTACGAGAGAGAGACCACCAGGATGTCGCACAGTCTTTGTCGGTGGGCTTCCTGAGAATGTAACAGAGGAAATTGTCCAGGAGGTGTTCGATCGCTGCGGCCCTATCATCAGTGTGCGGATGAGCAAGAAGAATTTCTGCCACATCCGGTTTGAGCAAGAAATGATCGACAACGAACTTTGGATGCAGTTGGGAGAGTCTTACATTGGTGACAATGCACATATTAACAGAGCAATTGAGCTTTCAGGTGAGTGACACATATAAAGGTGTTCATCACAAGAGCCAATATGTTATATAGGTTACAGATACAAACATTCTTAAACAAATTATGGACTGCTTGGTGGCATGATCTGGGTGGACTTTTCTAAAGAGCCATTCCACATTGTGATTTGTTAATATATTGAGGTATTCTTTAACAGGGTCAACGTTCTGGAAGGTAGGCTAATATGTGAATGCTATCTGGAGGAACACAGTATAAGTGCAGTTTTAAAAATTAGTCTGAAAATCCAGCGTGGCTTGATTTCGATATTTTGTACTTGTACATAATCCAGTCCTGCTCAACAGTTACCTGTCCAGGAATCGGGGGCTGGACTGCTATTGCCAACACTGCTTAGAAGACAGCTGTTAGCACCAGGATCCTTTTCTTCTGTCTCGCCTGACATTCGTTTGAAATTGCAGGTTACAGGGTGCGAATGGGCTCTAACATGGACCCACCAAACTCTGGCAGGCTGCATGTAGACTTTGCGCAGGCGCGGGACGACCTGTATGAGTGGGAGTGTGCCCAGCGGGGAGTCATGCGCGAATTGCGACACCGACAACGTATGGAGCAGGAGCGACTGCGGCCGCCTAGCCCACCCCCAGTCGTCCACTTTTCCGACCACGAAGCCATGGCCATCTCCGAACAGCTAAAAAGCACGTTATTTTTCAGTTCAATTCAATTCAAATTACTTTATTCAGACCTGCCAACCCTTACGATTTTTTCGTATTCCTTACGAATTCCATGATGTTTCTACGAATGTACGATCAAACTGAAAAACTTATGATTTTTTACGACTTGTGAAAATTAATGTTTTTTACATTGTGAGCCGAGAAATATGTGGCGATTGTGGGCGCAGCCATATTGGATCACGCGTTCACGTTGTTCTCGCATGATCTAGAGTTAGTCCCATCATTCATTGCGCGCATAACATACAAACAAAATGGCCACCTGCTGCAAGAAAAGAAAAGCCTTACTATTTTCATGAATCACAGGTTGGCAGGTCTGCTTTATTTACACTTATGAATTACATTTTGGAGGTAACATGTTAGTTAAACAAGTTAATAGGCAACTAGCCATTTGCGGCCCATGGATCATGGGCATCTAGCATTTACCCAGGCATCACCAAAACATAGCAATATCCAAGAAGTAAATCAAAAAGTATAATAACACAGCCGGTTCATCCAGCATTGTTTGGCTCATGTTCGACAGTATGTTCTTGTTATAAACAACCCTAGATGCAATGACAACCCCAGCTGCAGTGAGCGTGACTCATGGTTGTGTGAAATTCCCTCCGTACATTATATATATAGAAAATGAGATACCCTGCTTTTGAGCATCACATGCATGTAATTTATAAGTTAAGTTCTCCCTCTTAAATTGTTAAACGTTTAATTATATACAGGTACAAATGAAGAGCGTGACTGTGTGTTTAGTATGCAACTTCATTACTACGGCATGGGTTATTTTTGTTGTGGGGTGGAAGTCGGCCTCTATTGACTGTGTTCCTCTTTACGTGTGTGCAGATGAGGAATCATTCTTCAAGGCTTCATCGCTGCTGATGCAGTGGCTGGAGCGCGGTGATTGCAGCCGCCGCAATGCCAACACCTTCTACAGCATGATCCAGAGCACCAACTCACACGTACGTCAGATCCTCAACCAGAAGCAGGCCTACGAGGAGGAGGCGATGAAATTTAAGGAGCAGATGAAACAGCGCATGCAGGGACTGCTGACGCAATGTAAGAGCGTGAACCTACGCGGGTGTGCAGTTTGCGAGGCATGGGGTGTGGCCGACGCTGCAGTGAGTGTTGCATGGTGTGAGTGCGAGTGACGTTGCAGTCTTGCTGCATTGCGCATGGCCACGTCTCCACGAGCTAGGGGGTCGTCGATGTAAGTTAATGCTGTGAAAGTAAGCTGCTGATATCTCATCCCGAGACTTGTCGGTTCTTCCAACGAAGCAGTTTCTGTGTTGGAATTTCGTGAATTCCTTCGGGACCCTTTACGGCTAATCCTACTGTTATTTGTAATACTTCCTCGTCTTTCGCTTCCTTATAGTCTCAGTCAGAGTTGCTTTATCCATAAATCAACTATGGTTGTTTCCTTCCTATATGGGTTGCTTCCATGGGGAAAATTTTTTCACGGGAGCTCTTTTTCAAAGGTTTGTGGGAAAAATAGCTCTCGTCAAGATTTTTACGGGAGCTATTTTGAGCCTCGCGGGAGCGATTTCGGAGGTTTGAAGAGTGAATCTCTCATTGCTCCCGTGTATTTTTTACTCTGGTTGCTTCTGCACTGTTTAATTACTGATGGCATTGCTGTAAGGTATCTTGGTTTGCATGGTATGAGCGACGTATGCTTGATGATGCCATACAGTAATGCCGGTGCGGAAAGCAATGTATGGTGCCGTCAAGGATTTGGAAGACCCTTGAGGATTATTACCCGTTGAGCATTTCTGAACTGTAAAGCTGGGTTTACGCTACCGACTATATGCTGTCAAATTGGCGAATTGGACCAATTTCACAATTCGGGAACAGATTGCAACTTGTTCTAATTTCCCAACTAGTTGCTATTAACCAGTTGCTCGCACAACTTTTACGTTTACACTGCCGATTGTCGGTTGTATAATTGCGAAATTGTTCTGAGTCGCTAATTTGACAGCATAAAGTTGGTATTGTAAACCCAGCTTTAGACCACCTTTCATTTTGAGAATGAAATCTGTTTGCTACACTATGAGAGTAAATATTGCATGGTTGTCAAAACTCTTGTCAGCCGTTGTAGCGTCAATGAGGGATTTGACTGAAAACATGGTGAACAATTCAGTTAGCATTCTGAAATGAAAAGAGTTGTGCCTTGCTTTATTCTAAATGTAGACGGATAGTCTATCTCACTAATCTCTTGCCATGCTTTCTATTCCATAACAACTTTTTTACCCATTTAGAATTGTTTAGTAACCTGTCCCGGATATGACCGCTCTATATATTCGACAATGCAGCATTTAAACGAATGTTTGATAATAAAATTAAGGTTTGTTGGTCTAAAATTAATGATCTATTATAACTAAGTAAGGAAGTACTTTATCATGAAAAAAAGTATTGTTCTACATACAATTCGAGTGTAGCAGTTCTACTGTGATTATTAAACAATCGATTAAATGTTGCCCAGGTAAAGTTGACCGAGAATACTTTTTGTAGACAGAATGTAACAGAACATTGATGACAAACATCTGTTCACATGTCTTCTGTGTGCAAGAAGTATATTTTGCATTCCCAAACTAAATATTGTGATTCCAGGTCCACCTGAGCAGATGTTAAACTTAAAGTAAAGCTTCTATCTCTGTGTGCATTAATGTAATCATATACTTGCATGGCCCACGAATCTCCTGTTAAACTGTTACCCAGTTTCCAATTTATTTTGGGTTTGCAAAATTACAGCATTTAATTAACTTATTATACATTTATATAAGGAGAGGATAATGATTTTACTTGTGTATGCGTACATACGTGAGCGTGTTCTTGTGTGTGAGTGCGTGTGTGAATGTGTGCGTGGGTGCGTGCGTGTGTATGTGTGTGTGCGTGTGCGTGACTGTGGATGTATGGATAACACGTTTTCAATTTCAGAAGTATTTGAAGGTGAGTTTATAAAATTAGCTGAAGTATGTTGGTGCCACTGGCCTGTAAAGTTGTCTTGTTATGAAGCTTCCATTCATTGGCTGATGTGGTTAATAGTTGAGCTTAAAATGCTAAATAAATGACAGTACCACCAATCACTTTTCATTGAGGTTTAAGTGAAATATTTTTAAAGTGTAATTCGGTGGATTTATCGATCAAACTGGAAAACACAATTCCATGTAATCAGTGTCTTATAATAGACATGTCACACCAAGCAAAGCATGATCCGTTCTTGTATTCGACAGAACACAAGAACAACAGTGTCATTTAGTGTGCTGTTGTCATGGCTTCACAATAAAAAAATTTGCTGACCATGTGGCACCGGCTGCTTCTAGCTTTGGGAGGTTTATCCCTCATAACTCCTTCACTGACGAGACTCGAATAAACTGGATGTTTTTGTTATTTGAAGTTGATCAGATTGATCGCGTATTCAGTGCGGCCAGTAAGCAGAAGGTGTGGGACCACTTCAGCAAGCCTCAGCGCAAGAACCTTGATCTGTGGCGTAAGCAGTGTCAGGTAGGAGGAGTGCCAACGATGGTTTGATATCCTCGCTGTTTTCTATGCCGCCATCTTTAAATTGCAAGCTCGCTTACCAATGCTCGTTTGGTGTCTATTGGAGCCACGACAAAAGTTTAAAGAAGTTTGGCATGGTTTTTTTTTCGGGGGCCTTTCAATTAGTTAGTTGGGATGTCACGAAGCTCGACGAAATGAAATGTTGGCATTGTCACTGGTTTGACAACTATAATCCCTTTTATGAATAGGAAGATAGTATCAAGAGTGCATAATATGCTATTATGCACTCTTGATAGTATGTGTACTATGGTGCTCATTATATGAATTGACTGGTTTCCAATAGATGCCAAATATTGCAGAAGAATGCATTTTTCTGCCCGGTTGACGTAAGTTTGAGCTTATATTCCTAGAATGAGAGTAAAGGCCAGAATATGTAATTTCGTTTTTAAGATCAATAGTCTATTCCAACTTAATTACATATCATGGCTTGATTGCACGGTTTAGTCTTGTAAGCTCATGCTATAAATTTGGCTGATAGGGTCTGTGTCTCCCTGGGTACTGCCGGAACGTACCCTTCGGTAACTATCTGATCATGGTTAGGGTTAGGGAGTAGGCATAGGCGACTCCCTAGACTGCGTTAGTGGAGTAGGCGAGGTACGGTCGCGGCGATATTAGATAGTACCAGGGTAATGTTCCGGTATAGCTGACCGTACCCAGGGTACGTTCGCGGCAATACCCAGGGAGACATAGACCCTGGCAGCATAAATTTGGGATGAAGCATTTTCGACTAAAAAATGGTAAGCAAGTGCTTGGATGCATTCTCCGTATGCTATAGGCATTGGAAGCATTGTTCGAATACTACAGATTCACAATTGTTTCGGCTCCTTCCTCTTCCATGTACTGAACTTGCTTATCAGGTACCACCAGCAGTGAGAATGTTTCACCTCATGCGAAAGAACATTTACACCAAGGCTGTGAGCATTAGCATGTGTGCCGCGTACACACGTTAAATGCTCATCACCATTTTAAAGGCATTAGTTTGTGTGTTCATGAAATTTGGCATACATCTGCCCTAGTCACCTCCAGTGTTATAATGCGATGTGTTTTTAAATGTAGATGCTGTGATGTTGTGCATCTGTTGAGTGGCTATTAAGTCAAGTTGGTGGTGGGTGTGTGGATGTATGATGTAGTAATGCCAATTTTAGGATTTGCAAACTAGTGCCTTGAAAATGCTAGATCATGCAGTTGTTACAGCAGCAGTATTTGTGGTGATTGTAATGAAAGAAAGTCGAAATGGAACATGGAAGCAAGCCTGAGAAACCATGGCAAACTTCATACTGGCTGAGAGTTCGTTTCACGAACGGTTCTCAGAAAGAAGGCTATCTGTGTGTGAAATAGACAGAATATTTGAAAGAGAGTGTGTGAAATAGATTAAGATAGGGAAGAGAGTGTGAGAGAGAGAGGGGTAGGAGAAAGATAGAGCGAGAGAGAGGGAGAGAGCGAGAGAGAGAGCGAGAGGATGAGAGCGGAGTGCCCGGGCGAGGAGGGGCGCCGGGGGCAGGGGAGAGGGAGGGGGGGTCCGGGCGGCCTCCTCCCCCGGCGAGGAAGAGGAAAGGGGTCGCGGAGGGGGGGGGGGGGGGGGGAAAAAAGGGGGCAGAGCGGCAGCCCGGCAGCGCTTCTGGCGTAGAGTTGAGCGGAGACCGCCGAGCGCGCGCGGAGGTCTGGGTGGGGCCGGGTCGTCCCTGGAGCGGGTTCGCACGCGCGCACAAAAAGTTTAGACTCAGACGGTTTTCTTTAGATACGCCTCATAGCGATGCTCTCTCCCTAGAGTGCACTATAAGGAGGAAGAATTTTCGAATACATTAAAAATTAAACTTGAGTTGTCACCGCCACGGTAAATGCATAATCCAACCATACGTGCGACAGTATTTCGAAAGCCCGCGGTGCAAATAGCAGCCAAATGTTTGTCCATTATTCGCCACCCGCCGCGTCTGCAGCAGTAGCAGCAAACAGTAGGCACAAGCGCCCAAACTATATAGAATATATATATATATAATATTATGGAACTACAGGCGTGTCAGCTGGAGGGATCAGGCGCGGGTGGGCCAGAATACCGGGGGTGTAAGCTACTATCACAGTGCTACTACTCACGGCCAGCGGCCGGCCTCTCTCGGCGATAGCTATCGTTTCGTCCCGTGTACAACACGACACTACGTCCCTGTATCACATTACGGGGAGAGGGCGCGGGTCGTGGCGGGAGTCGTGGCGGGGGTCGTGGCGGGTGGTCGTGGGGGAGGGTCGTGGCGGGCGGGTCGTGGCGGGGGGTCGTGGCGCGGGGTTCGTCTGGCGGGGGTCGTGGGTGGGGGAGGAGTCACTGGCAGGGGGTGTCGTGGCGGGGGTTGTGGCCGGAGGGGTCGTGGAGTGAGGAGGGGAGGGTGACGTGGGATGGGGGTCGGGTGAGCGAGGGTCCTTGTGAAACTGAGTAGCCGAAATGCACAAGACCCGAGTTTTCTGCGATTAAGCCCTAGAGGATATAGCCGAACAGAAAGCAAATATTGGTCTGATTGATATTTCCGCAAGTGTCGGACCAGAGAGCAGGGTTTTTCGCCGACACTATGGTTGCGTTACAGATCCGCAAAGGAGAACAGAGAGAGCAGACAGACAGGACAGAGCCGGACCGATACAAAATTTAGAATAAATCCGATAGGCATACGGGACTCCAAGAACCAAGACAAAGTCCAGCGGGCCAAAAGTCAGGAACCATATTAGTGGAGTGAAGAGAACAGAGGTCATAGATATTGGCTATAGGCATAATCGCGGAAATGCCGGTAGATATAATGAAAAGATAGGGACGGCTCGAGCGAAATGGCACAGCCGAAAAATAGAGAGAGCAGACGCAAGGGCGGTCGTCAAATTGTAACCATATTTTGGAGCCATGAGTTGTCGGATAAGCCGTTCATGTTTGGAAAGTGTGAATGAAATTTCGCCGATCCCGAGAGAGAGAAGGAGAGAGGAGAGAGAGAAGGAGAGAGAGAGAGGAGAGAGAGAGAGAGAGAGAAAGAGAGCAGAGAGAGAGAGAATGGAGAGAAGAGAGACGAGAGAGAGAGAGAGAGAGAGAGAGAGAGAGAGAGAGAGAGATGAGAGAGACGAGGAGAGAGAGAGAGAGAGAGAGAGAGAGAGAGAGAGAGAGAAGCAGATAAGGGAACCTACACATAGGTATTAGTTCTGCTATCAGGATGCGATAGTAGGGTCTCTGTGTGGAACCTGCTTTTACAGCTGCTTTTTTAAAGTGAACAGAGGTAACGTCATTCAAGGAAGTCACTTCGCTGAAATGACTCTTGCGCAAATTTTAATGTGTCTGCTTACTTGCACCAGCTGTTTATTTAAGCAAATTCTAGTATCAGGTGGGTGCTGCTGCAAGGTTTGTGGCGGTATTAAAGACATTAATGCATAAATTAACGATAATTAGCTGCATTGGTATTAATACTCTTTAATGCGTTTGAAACATCAATCACAAAACGCGCAGTCAGTAAGTATCAAGCGGAATTACAGTGTAAGTACGGAAACATACGAACGGGCAGTCAGTAAGTTGGTACGTCCATTCGGTGTGAGGATTGGTTGCTGTCATGTGGTAATGTAGTCACTGATGCTATCAGCCCAACAAGCCCTCTCCAAGAACAGCGATGGAAGAGTGGAGAAATGTCTTTATACAGATGTGGTTGGAATCCCAACTAAAGGTCTCAACTGAGAGTCCTAACTGGAGGTTTCAACTGGAAATTTCAGCTGAAGGTGCCAAGCGTTTGTAAGTGACCCGAGTGGCGGTCACAGTAAGGTCTCAATTCTACATCTCAGTGCAACGAGAAGTTTATTAAAACTGTGATATAATATAAGCAACAAAGAATTAATATTTATTAAATTCTAGCTTATTTTCGCAAGACAGGTGATATAGACAGTTATTGCACTAATGCAGAATAATATCATGGAATAAATTAAGCAGGTTTAAGAATGGTACTCTGTTATTTTGGTTCAGATTATTGCATATTAAAAAACAAAGGGTTGGTTTATTAATGGCCACAACGTTTTATAGTATAACCTTGTATTTATCTTTAGTTTGTATCACTGCTGTGCCTTCCTTGTTAATTCTGGGATACATAATTATTGAGTCTTGCAATTTATTGTTATTAATGAAATTAATTGTTATTCACTAAGGACAGCACTATAATGCTCAGCATTGTCCTGTCCACCAGAATACCAGAGTTATGTGCTTAAATACCTGTCACTCTTCAAGCCCTGAGAAAGTTTGTGTGCAATATCTATGATAACTTTGTATGCAAGTGTGTGCGTACGTGCGTACGTGCGTGCGTGTGTGAGCGTGCATGCATAGGTGCTTGTGTGTTCTCACTTGAGTGCGTGTTTGGCTATGGGTCGATTGGAACTCACGTTTGCCACAGGAAACCAACGACTGCCGTCCCTCAGACCACACACGACGCGTCCTGTCACACGACCCGTCATTGTTTTGCAGGAAATCAAAGCCAGCAGCTTGGAGGAGTTCTTGAGTGACCGGCAGGAGGATGAGATGGAGTTGTCAGATGGTGAAGACAGCGGTGTCTCGGCACCAAAGAAGCAGAAGACAGAGGAGGAACTAGGTAGGTGCTAGATATGCTTCTGTGGCATAAATAAAACGCAGTGGCTATGCGTCCGGTCATCCATTACAAAGCTCTGCACAGATTCCCAAATCCACGCCACGATTAGGCCACGCTCCCTTTCAAATCGTTGATTTCACTGGATTTACTATTGCTTCAAAAGTTACAAAAACACATTTTTTTGATAAAATACCTAAAGGTAAGTAATATTATGGTAAAAACTTATTGTTTATTGTTTTTTACTGAAAAAATATAGTTAGGTTCACATAAGAAATATATGACCGGACGCCTAGCCTGGGAGCTGGGCGTTCGCGTAGCCACGGCCTAAATAAAATGGGACACCGTACTGAGATGTACCGTAAGAAGTTTAGGAAGAATTTGTTGGTCATAATATTAAATTAGTTACATCCCCTTTTGACTTTTCTGTGGTCTGTCAGTATTTTTTTTTTTTAATTAGAATATTATTTGTATTGGTTAGCTGAAGAGGTTAAGAGTGAAATGGAGCACTAAGCAATTATTGCTGAAGCTCACAAAATGTAAAACAAATTAACAACTCATTCTATTTTGTAAGTGTCACGTGTGCACTGTGTTTGTGTACATTCGCAGTGGCGCATGCACATATGCATGCACAGAGCATGCAACTGAGCAACCTGAAGGAGGAGAATGACCAGCTGCGATGTCAGGCAAGTTTCCACTTACTTTAATTACATTTAATTAATTTTAACGTTATTTATCTATATGACGAGCATGAATTTTGATTGAAACTAATGTGCCAAACGTGATCAACACACTTAATTCTATCTTGTTAATTATGTGCAACTTCGGGTGAACAAGTGAACGTCTTGTGCTGACTACGTCTTTGACCACATGCATAGATTGCGCGATCAGGAATCGATTACTTATTTGTCCTCACAGGTCGATGCATATAAAAACGAGGTCGACATTCTTAAATCTGAACACAAGGATCTGATCGACTACAAAGATAATCAGCTGAAAGCACTGCAGAACACACTCGAGTCCATGCAGAAACAACTCATGGAAAACCTACGTAAACAGAAGGACTCCGGGGAAGAGATTAAGAAGGTCTGATTGTGTAGTGCAATAGGCCTTGATACATGTCTTTGTTATTTAAATATTGTAATGAAATGATTAAATGTGCTTGTAGATGGCGTCCTAATCGCCCTCCTATCTTTATTCACATAATGTAAGCGTTTTGTTATTCAAATATTTTGCTGTGCTGGCTCGTGCATGTAGTAATGCAAGTAATAATATTTCAACCTATCCTTGTGAGTGAGAGAGCGTTTTTCATTTATTGGTTTGTTGGTCCCTGTCTCACAGGAAGTATCTAAATATTTGTCTAATACATGTAATACATTTGATATGACTAGAGGTGTTATTGTATGTTTCAGTTGCGGGCATTGGCAGCTGCTACTACAGATGTCATCATTGATGGCCAGCAGGGACTTGTTCTTATGGATGAAGCCAGGCTAGATGGCACTGCTGAACCAGAAGTCCCAATTCCAGTGCGTAGGATAACCTTTTATTCTATCGGTGGCAAAAATTATGGCAGTTTTGACTTCATATTTAGTTATTGATACTGCAATCTAATAGGTTTACTTTGTTTGCTTTCAGGTAAAAGCAGAGGTTGCCAAAGTTCCGGATACGTCAAGCTCAGGAATAGATGGGCGGCAAATCTCTCAGAAGGATGCCAAACTTATTGGTGAGTCTACAATGATCTATATAACACTGTGAAGAGAGTAATGTTCATTATTGCTGTTACTTAAATTATCAATGCCACTTAATTCAATGTATGCCATTATTGATGCATATTTATAAAGTGCTTTGTTGGATCTTAGGTTTAATTGCCACATTTTTACACGTCCATCCGTTTGGAGCCGGCTCTGACTACATCTGCTCCTACCTCCAAAGGCTCACCACAGGTACAGTGATAACACAGTCAGTAAAACTGTAACTTGTCATCTCCCCGGTGGCAGGTGTAAATTGTTTGGTGTAAGTGTAAATCATCCTCAACTGCGATGAGTAACTTTCCTAAACCTTTAGCCAAGATGGCGAAAATTTAAAAAAACCTAACTTAACCAAAATTTACCAGAAAAAAACATTGCTTTTACACACTGCATATGCATACACACAGACACACGCAGCACCCATGCACTCGCGCGCACGCATATATAACATATAGGTGCTAGGAAATTCAGTTAGACTATACATGGAACCAAATATAGACATAAAGGAAGCATAATGGGATCCATGGAGAATTATGAAAGTGATACATATTAGCACATCTCTGCTGTGCTATTAATCTCGAAGTTACATGCAAAAGCCAAAAATAAAGTCGAAAGCCAGTGGAAACTAAATCTCTGCCCTATGCCGCAGTTTTCATCTTCTTTCATTTAATTTTGTTGAGCGTCTGGTAGATAATACCAGGCGTTAATAATGACAAATTCTGTCATTTTTTGTCAATTTTTTTATCATTATTCTCTGCCTGATAATACCGTGTTAACAAGTGCTTCTTTCATTCTATTTGGTTAAGCGTCAAATAGATAATACTGTGTTAACAAAGAGCTTCTTTTGTTTTGTTTGGTTAAGCGTCAGGTAGATAATACCGTGTTAACAAAGTGCTTCTTTTGTTTTGTTTGGTTAAGCGTCAGGTAGATAATACCGTGTTAACAAAGTGCTTCGTTCATTCTATTTGGTTAAGCGTCAGGTAGATAATACCGTGTTAACAAAGTGCTTCTTTCATTTTATTTGGTTAAGCATCAGGTAGATAATACCATGTTAACAAAGTGCTTCTATCATTCTATTTGGTTCAGCGTCAGGTAGATAATACCGTGTTAACAAAGTGCTTCTTTCATTTTATTTGGTTAAGCGTCAGGTAGATAATGACCGAATGTTAATCAAAGTTGGCTATACCTTGCTCGGCTGGGGCAGGTATTCTGGTACGCGAGAGGTAGACGAGCTGCTGCAGAGTCTACCGGGAGTGTTCGTACAGAAGCTGTCTGGGGTTGGTGCCTCCATGGAGCGCAGGTGGCACTTCACCGGATTCCAGGCTGTAGACGACGCTTAGTCACTACGCTGCAGTCGATCTTTCCACCCTGTACAGCGCCCAGCTAACGCGAGTAAGTGCTAGCGCGTACCCCCTGTAGATGATGTAAGTGCTGCTGTGTGCACCACAGATGACACGTGCGACACATGTGTAGGTATGAATTATGTGAATGCATTGCAGACTGTGAGGGGTGTGGCTGGGGACATTGCAGACTGTGAGGGTGTGGCTGGGGACATGCAGACTGTGAGGGTGTGGCTGGGGACATTGGCAACTGTGAGGGTGTTGGCTGGGGAGCATTGCAGAGCTGTGAGGGGTGTGGCTGGGGACATTGCGAGACTGTGAGCGTAGTGGCTGGGGACATTGAAGACATGTGAGGGTGTGGCTGGGGACGGCAGATGTAGGGCGGGACAATGAACTGTGAGGGGTGTGGCTGGGGACATTGGCAGACTGTGAGGGGTGTGGCTGGGGACATTGCAGACTGTGAGGGTGTGGCTGGGGACATTGCAGACTGTGAGGGGTGTGGCTGGGGACATTGCAGACTGTGAGGGGTGTGGCTGGGGACATTGCAGAGGACATGAGTGCTATGAATAAGCTCAGTAGGAACAAAGTGTTGGAGTTGGTAATTTGTAATGTTGAAGTATTTGTAGCATGTGTGCGTTACGGTTTCTTTGAAAATGTTTCCCACATTTATCTGAGCTGGCCCCTTTATGTATGGTGTTGTTATGGATATGGTGAAATTAAGATGGTCTCCCATTCATTATCGACTCCATTTTAGGTCAATTAGAGGGTTGAGTATTATGGGCAGTGAGTTGCCAGGGTGCTTGTTTAAATTTAAAATTTAAATTAAGTGTTCAGCAAGAGTACTTCACTGTAAATAGTCATATACCATGTTTTTACTCCCAAAGCTGTTATGGACCATATTATGAAAGCTACACTACAGCGAGATTGTATTATTTATCACGGTGTGTTACTATGGGTTTCATTGTTCAAATCAGACAGTTTGGTTTTGTTCATTTTGGCCTGCTTAGAGTAACTCTACAACTACTCTAAGTTCTAACCACCGTGTGGTAGCATATAAATCAAGAGTATATAATAGAGACAATGTATGTCTATATTATGTACTCTTTATATAGATAGAAGTGTCACTTTCTTATCACAATACTTCATTCTTGTTTTAATTGCTGACGTGTTGTTTGAGTTTAAATATGGTATGTTATGTAGATATTTATACTATAAATGTATATGTGAGATAACTTCGGCATTTTCTAAAAATGCACTTATTTGCAGAATTAATAGAAGGCTGCTCAGTTATCATGCTGCAAAACATGTTTATATAATAAATTCATATTGAGCAGACTGGCATTTGGTATTCTGTGCTTTACATTTCATTAATACATATCGAGTGAAAATGCAGTGAAATCTTAAAATTATTATGACAATTACACGTCGTTTTTTTAGAACGTTGACACTATACAAGTACACTGGATTACAATGTCAAATGAACACGATTGGTTTCTGCTACTCATAATCGGCTTCCTTTATCGGTGGATCAGTGAACTGCTGTAAAAGCACGTTGAGCAAATTGATATGAATTGATGGGCTGAACCTTTATAAACTGTTGTTTCCCCACACTATTGCGTTATGCATAAAAAGTCACTCATTTTTTCAAGTTTAGCTAATTATGTTTACATCTGTGAATAGGAATCCATCCGTGGAGCGTTCATGCCTCTGCCATACGATAACTGACACCAGTCGATAACAGTGAATTTGAGATCAGCTCTTCAGTTGAGCACAGGGCCCAGTTTCTTTCCCTACGTATCCACTTCACAAAGTGTTCGTTGAGTCCGATCTGACTTCCCCATTTCTTCATGTTTTAATCTCGCGAATCAGTTGAAGTTTTCATGAAGGATTGAGGAGAGCAACATCATGCGCATCCGCCAACTGTGTGTCTGTACACACTTATCTATGACACTTAATGCAGGAATGGAAGGAAGAATGTGCTTCAGTGATCTGGCTGATCAGCATCATCAAACTGTCCGTCTGTGTCCATATTCTCTACATTCCCATTCCCTGTAACAAGAATACATGCAGAAAAAGTCAATATTGACATGATAAATTAGGAATAAGTAGCTGGATGTTTGCAACAAGAAATGTCGCTATATACGTGATACATTGGAAGTAAGAAGTTGCACATCTGCAACTTAGATCCGTACCATGTTTTTACTTTCATCTGATATATGAATTAGTTTTGTTTTTACTATTTCATGACTATATTTACATAAATGGTCTACGAGGTCTATAAGTTACATATTCCAATTTTTCTGTACGTAGGTGAAAATAAATGCATATAAAAACATTTGCATTTTCACATAAATAAATGGTTTCTTATTAACAGCTGGCACGCGCAAAAGATACTGTCACACACACTAAGAACAAATTTGTGCGAATCTCGCCAAGGAAAATAATTACTGATGATTTCTACTCTTACTAATCTGATATCCTATTCCTCGATCTCACCACGCACCCTGTTGTCCAGCCTGTAGCATCGCCTCTAATCGTTGTAACGTTGCCTGGCCTTGCTGTGTGAGCACGACGTCACCCTCCTGTCCGGCAACCGACGATTCCACGCCAATGTCATCTTCTGAGTTGCTGTCATCCTCATCTGGATGCAGCACTTGACAATCGGACATCGCTGCAAACATCAGCTCCACTGCCACGGCCGACGAGTCACGCGGAGCCAGAAACGGTCAGAGAAAAGAAACGAATAATTAAAAACAAGTGAGCATTGAAAGTCGACACTCTTCGTATGCATGTCATGCCAACAAGCTGGCAGTTGTGAGCATTTCATTCCCGTCAACATATGCTTAATTATTCTTGCAGTTATTGTATCATTAGTAATTGTCTACACTTACAATACTGTTTGTCTGCAGGTACAAACCGAACATCGGTAGTTTTCTCATCATCTTCACCATCATCCTCTTCAGTGGAATCATCGTCCCCCATACCTTCTTCTTTGTCTAACAACATTGCAACAGGCAGGGCAGATAAAGGCACAGATGTCAGTCTTACGAGGCTTATAAGCCTAAACTATATAGGCTATAATTATAACTATAACTATATAGACTAAAGTTACATATCATTACACATGCCAATGTCCTTATTTCTAACTGCCTATTTCCTATATTAAGTTCCCAAAGAAACAAAATTTCTGGATACGATTCAATGTTGCAGGAAAATATTCAAAGTCAGTAAACCAAAATAGACAACTCGGATCACTATTTGCTTGCCAACCTTCTAAGCTGCCATTAACCAACAGGTACAGACACTCGTGTGGAAAATATGACACGTCCTTGGAAACAGCATGAAGAGAGATATCTGGATACTCCAATGAGAATCCTCGTGAATCTTCACCCACCCATGATAGACAACTAAATAAAGATAAAAGGAATGCTTGTTTTAATGTTTGAACAATATTTTCACGCACTTGGTTTTATGGAGTTATAATGTAACTGCAGCTTGATATTTATACTTATATCTATATATTTACACTTATAGATATTACATTATATATTTATATATACAGTCCGACCTCCTTTATCCGGCCACGTCGGGACCGGCACCCATCCGGATATGGGATTTGGCCGGATATGAGAGTTATGCACACAGCATTTTTATGCAGTTCAGTAGGGTTTATGCATGTGATGATGTATTTACTCGTTGCTATGATTATTTGTAACAAACTGTCGTGTTTTATGGTTTATATGAAATGGAAATAAAACATAAATTTTACCGGAGGCATAGCGGATACGAGCGGACAACACGCACGCATGCAAACACACGTACTGTTGGTACATCGCGCGAGTTTTGAGCGAGATTTTTAGGTGGAAATGAATGAAAAACAGAGAACATACACTGCGAGATAGCGGCCGGTTAATAGATATTTCCGGATAACGGATGACCGGATAAAGGAGGTCGGACTGTATATATATATATATATATACTTTGTTATTATCTTATGTAAAAGCTTACCTTTCAGCAATGTAAAGTGTGCCTGCCCCCAAATGTTTGTTGCCTATGTAAGCTTGACAGCTGTCTTCCTGTCGAACGATTCCGTCGCTTGGAGGTGGGAACGTTGTTAGAACGACCATAATGCTTGTCACGAGATGCCTCTGATAGCAGCAGCAGCTATAGTCAAACCAAGGAAATTAATAATGCCCAAGATGGTAGATCTCAGAAACCTTTCAATCCACACAAACCCTATTGGAATTTAGCCTCACACTGGAACTTGTTCACGAGAACCTGTAAGATCATATTAATTATTAATAAGTCATTAATCACGGTTTCTTATACATAAGAGGCACAGTGGCGCACCACCGTTGTCAAATTTAACATCATCGTTGTGAAAATGCTCCTGTATTTACCCGCCATTGTCAAAATACCAAAAGTCAAACAAGTGCCGCAGAGCGACAGCGCTCATCTAACGTCTACTGCGGTGACTCTGTGGTGGAGTGGTGGGATTCTAGTAAACCCTGTTAGTCCCAAATGTGTTCACATACACGCCGAAACAGTGGAATGCACAGGGATGGGCATTAAGTCTGGTCTTGTTCTGATCATCTGTGAGAAAGGATTTGGACATATCCTTCGGGACAGTGC